AAGAAAAGCAGAGGAATCAAAGGCTTTGCCTGCCTATCTTATCCTATTCTTGACTTTTCATCTTAATTAATTCCTATTTCAGGGCCTGAGGCAAGTTTGTTTTCCCTTCCAATCACTGATTGCAGAGGGTCCCTTATCACTAACAACTAATATTCAGTTTCCAAGCATGACAATCAAAGTTAGGAACTGGAGCAGAACAAACTGCACTGGCTTCCTACACTGCACTTACCCACTGAACTAGCTGAGAGGATTTCTGCATCATGGAACCCTGTTTTCTCTCAAAGCCTGATACAAAAAGGGAGATACTGAAGGGAATTTGAACACGGTGAAACAGAAGCTGGAAATTTTTGGAATGATGTAGCAAACGTGGGTTTCTCCCACATAGATCCTGATACCTGATCTCAAAGAGCCCTTGCAAACCCTCTGCTGTTCCTGCCCAGTGCAAAATACAACTGACTTTTCACCCTGTTCCATTACTGAAGATGTCCTCAGTTATTCCTGAACCTACTCCTCACTAAATGTGCTGAGATTCCTGCACTGCAGATCCATTCTGTCTTTCAGTCACAGGTTTTCAGAACTGGTGTAGTGAACACCACAATGTACTTTATCTCCTGCACTGACTGATTCTCAAAACAAGCCCAGTGCTGGTACCTGTTGCTAGGATCATCTTGCAATCTTCCACTGTCACTCCAGTGAAGCTTGTGTCTTTCAGGCGTGGATACTTCACCCATAAGAAAAGTTTTGGGAGAGAGAGAAAAGTAAGTTACTTGTAGTGAAAACAGGCAAAAATGTCCCCATGCAGAGGAGCCTGAGCTCATTTTCAGTCAAGACTTCAGTTCATCCACGCCAAGAACTACCTGCATGGCCCACACATGTCCCAGATGGCTGCAGCTTTCCCAGAGTGACCAAGGGCACCAGGCTGTTCTGCCACCCCTGATCATTATTTATCTGTCAGACATTCCCAGGAACCCCTCTGGGAGCAGGGAGCAGCCTGCAGCAGGTGGTCACTCACCTGCCAACAGAGACAGGATGGCTGATGCCAGAGCTCACCTTGTTCTTGTAGTAGTTGGTGTGGATCCTGAGCAAGCTCTCGTACATCCTGTCGCAGGTCTCGGGGTCAGCAATCTGGGAAGGGATCAAAGTACAACACAGACCTTCTTTTAAACCCACCTCATGGCCAAGCTCTGAGAAGGACAGTCCAGGAGCAGCTCAGGTGACCTCTCAGTGCCATGCAGGATGCTGCTTAACCCCACTATGCTGTTTTCTTTCCCCTCCATTTCTAACCAGCTTGGCCAAAAAAGAATAAGGAGGTGTGCGATTTCCTGCCTGGACCTTCAAATCTGCTTAAATAATGATCTGACAGATCAGCTGTGAATATACAGTGACAAAAATACTGCTGGACACTTTTCTTCTCATGTATATCAGCCACTGCTGTGAAATCCTGAGAGACTTCAAGCTCAAAGGCCAGTTAGGCCACCTGTTTTATTCTATGGATGTTTTTGTTCTATGGATGTTTTATAAGCATCCAACAGGATAACCTACCAGGATGGAAGTTAGAAAGTCCCAGTGCAGGCTGAAAATAGCTTAAAATTGATAAGGGAAAAGCAGCATGAAAGACACTGAGCAGCTTGTGAGGGGTAAATGCTTTTCTGTTTCTGTGTGGATGGAACAGCCTGGTCTGATATTGCAGAGGGTGCCAGAGCAGAACTCAGCATTGCTGCTTGATGAGGTGGAGTATCAGAGAATCATGGAATGGTTTGGGTGGGAAGGGACCTTAAAGATCATCCAGATCCAACCCCCTGCATGGGCAGGGACACCTCCCACCAGCCCAGGCTGCTCCAAGCCCCATCCAACCTGCCCTTCAACACTGCTAGGGATGGGGCAGCCACAGCTTCTCTGGGCAACCTGGGCCAGGGTCTCACCACCCTCACAGCAAAGAATTCCCTCCTCATGTCCAACCTCAACCTTCCTCCTCCAGTTTTAATCCATTCCTTTGTCCTCTCCCTCCCTGCCCTTGTCCCAAGTCACTCCCCAGCTTTCCTGGAGCCCCTTCAGGCACTGGAAGCTGCTCTCAGGTCTCCCTGGAGCCTTCTCTTCTCCAGGCTGAACACCCCAACTTTCCCAGCCTGGCTCCAGAGCAGAGCTGCTCCAGCCCTCCTATAATCTTTGTGGCCTCCTCTAGGCTCTTTCCAGGAGTTCATTGTCCTTCTTATGTTGGGCGCTCCAGAACTGGACACAGTTCTTCAGGTGGGGTCACGACAGCTGAGTAAAGGGGGAGAATCATCTCCCTTGACATCAAACATAAATGACGAAAACAACCACAGGAATAAGAACAGTATCAGCAGAAACATGACAGGGTAAAATGCCACAGCTCATCTCTCCCTAGGACATGGGACCAGGTTCAGCACGAGGGGGGTAACCAGGGAAAGCAAGGAAAGGCTCCCCATGTTCCAGAGGTAATGGATGCTGTAGGAGAGAGGACACAGGGACAGACAGACTGCCAAGCATCACCACACTGCAGGTGATCTGCAGCTCAACACACTCTACAGCCACATTCCCAGTGCCCCTGCTAATGTTTTAGTAATGACAGCAGAAATAGCCATTAAATGGGCTGCAGAAACACTGTTCACACACACCCCATTAAATCAGCAAATCTTATTCCATGTGAATAAAACAGACATTAGACTGACAAAGGATCCTTTCCAGTCCTAGCTCTTCCCTCAGACTTTCCCCCTGCTGCCTGCCAGTACATTTCCCTTTGCTGTATTAAGCCTTTACACATACAAATTGACACAAGTGCTGCAGGCATCAATTTAGATTTTCAAGCTGAGTGGCAGCTTTGGGATCCTGC